AAAGCGTTTTCGAAAGCTCTCGAGGTCAGCTACAAGAATATGTAACAAAAAATAGGGGATGCTATTTAAAAAAATTGGTGTGACCTTTATGTGACTTTCAAATAATTCTTCAAGGTCAAACCAATGGTACCATCTTATGGCCCCCTTCAAACCAAACAACTTTTGTTTGAAACGTTTTTGTCTGCCGTTCTCGGATTTCGAGATATTTGGCTGATACGGGTGGTCTGGAATACCCTGTATATAAAACTTCTTTTCGTAAATTTAAGTCAAATATCAATTTGTAGTAAATTGTTTAAAATTCCGTGTGATTTTTCAAAGTTTAAATGAATATCGCGATCTTAAAACAACGAACATTTCCATTTTCTCATATTTACACGTAAATAAAAAAAAAGGAAAAACGCTTATCAAAAATCGGCCATGACAGATCTCTGAGGAATTTCATAAGCTTTAATTTAAGACCAAAATCATTACAATCGGTTGTATACTTTTGGCTAAAAGTTGTTTTGAACGAAAACGTGCTACTTTGCCCCACTGTGCGGCGGTGCGCCGCTCCTGTCTGCCTCTTGTACTCGGCCAGTTATTCGCTGACTATTTCTTTGAATAATTCAAAAACTAAGCTTCGGAGAACATTTTGGTAAGAGAAAAATCGTCTTAGAATTTAATCAGGAATACGACATTTCAGGGACACTATACCTATTTTGAATCACCCTGTATATGAAATGACTCGGGAAGACATCCCCAACAACATATTTAAAAATGAAGCAAATCGGAGAGGAGGCCCCTTTTATGCATAATTACCCTCTTTTTTAGTAAGGGACAAGCGCGCGCTTCGCGCGCGCCACATTTGCTCGCTCTAAAAATTCGCATGGTTTGACAGCTGCAAATAACACGACTGAAGTATGTCGTATCGCACAAGCGAGACAGCCAATCAGCATCGCGGAAAAGCGGCAAGAATACTTCGAGATATGCGACTAATCGACTTACATGCCTTTTTTAGAAGTGGATCACACTTATGGTTAAAAGAACGTAAACATAAATGTGAAGTATAGTGTTGATTAATTAACATTTATAATTTGTCAAAAAGTAACACGCGTTAAAATGTTAACATTTTATTTTGTACTGTGTAGTATACATTTTACTAGTAAAAGATTTAAAGAACGAGGATTTTACGAAAAGGTTTCGTCGAAGAAAGATTCTATCGAAAAACTCGGAGCGGATGCGTTCTTCGGTCAAAATAATGTACATTTTACTAGTAAATGTATGGTGAAATTTCAGAAAACTCACATAAAGTTCTTCAAAACGCCATGTTGTCCTACGATTACGTGATTTTCAGGATAAACCTTAAGAGAATTCTCTCCCTGTAGTTTTCGAAAGAAACATGTTCCAAATTGACCGGTCGATTCGTCCGAGACTCGCGCGCTCCGTCGTGTCACGTTGCGCAGTAGCGAAGGTGTTTTTCGGGCGCTTCTCAATTTTATATTTAATATAAAAAGGAGAAATATCGTCACGCGCGCGCGTGCAGCGTGCAGCGTTTCATGCGTTTCCGGCTGGAATAAGCCTTTCTCCTACGCTCGAAAATTGCGCTCTCGCACCAACGTAGACACTTTCGCTCGCGGGCATCCTCCGATTATTTCCGATCGGCCTTATCTTCCGATGCTGCGGGAGATAAGTCGACGCTACTGCTCCTCGCTATCTTTTAATCAACAATATCTTTGTTTCCAAGTCTCTGAATTAAAAGTCTAGCAAACTGCGATACGCTTGTGAAAGAAAAAGGGAGGAGAAAGGGAGAAGAGCTAACTAAATAATGGAATTTCGTCATTTTTCGCATGGCACGTCGAAATCGCTCAGCTGTCAGTTATCGATTAAGGCTGATTCATGCTGGGCAAAACGTCGTCGTTACGTTAAGGCCGAGTCGAACTTGTGTTTTTCGGATTCATAAATTCCGCGTTGAGGGAACGACGAGGGGGAAACCGCTGAAGGTATTGTGGTGTACAGATTTGCGGCATTACTGGCATTTTTGGGGAATTTGTGGGCATTAGTTTGGGCATTAGACCTTGCTGGAGCATTATAAAGATAAAATATGATAAAATAAGATAATAAGATAAAGTAATGCCCATTGGATATTAGTGGGCATTGATGTACAAGATTTTGGTCAGTGCTTTTCCCCTCGGGGATTCTTTTAAGAACGTTGGTTGGCTGTAGGATAGAAAATTTCTAGATACTCGAGAGCTTTGCTGTGCTGGAATCAATCGACGCGCTTAAAAAATTTGTCGTACGACAAATGTAATACCAGCCTTGCGCGATATTGCGTTTGAATTTCAAAGGGCATCGCGCGACGCGCCGACGTCGAATCGACTTTGTTGAATTTTTAGTATCTATATCTAAGAGAAAGAGAGAGGGAGAAAGAGAGATTATTTGTGGACGTAATGTATTTCTTTTATCGTTTACTCAAACATCTCGATTTACGAAGAAATCTTCCAGTCGTATCGTGCGCGGGTAACGTAGTGTCAGACCGGAGTAAATCGCGCCGCGAACGTATAATATTTCGTGAACTTCGGCGGTGCGTGGGCACGAAACGTCGAGAGTCCCGCTTGAAACAAGTGAATTCAGATCGGCGCGAGCGCGTAAACAAGATCGAAAGAAGCATGAATGAGCAACGTCGGCGTAAACGATTGTCGACGCTCCGAACCATGGTGTAAAGACACAAGGTGAAACATTGCGCACGTAACCAATTTTTGGGGCAAATTGTTCATTGGTTCTTCCTGCATTCAACCGCAATGATTTGCAGTTGGAAGTTGGGGCAAATTTCTGACTGGTCAATTCGGTAGTTTGTGGGCCGCTTCTGATTGGTTGACACTGCGCATCCTCCAGATTGCTTCACCTTGTATCTTTACACCATGCTCCGACCGGTGTGGATTCCTTTCTCGCACGGGAGGGACGAAAGTCTGAATTAGGAGATCGAACATTAATAATGACAATCGTTTTGTGCCTATTTCGCGGCTCCTTTCAGCGCTCGCGTTCACGCCTGATCGGATCTGCGAGGCGTACACGCGCCGCAATACGCATTCGCGCACGTGTAGGCGCGTAGGTGTGTCGACACGTGGCGCGAGTGTTGGAGCCGGCGCTACAGAGACTTTCGCGGATTTACATTCTCGCGTTCGAAGGCGGCGCCGGCAGCGGACTTCTATACAGGTTGCGCCATAGAAAGGTGGAAATTAGTAACACAAATGTCGCCCCCTGTGAGAAATTTGCAATTTACAAAATTTGCATTTGACTTCCCGAGCCGAGACTTTCCTAGACGTGTCAGATTTGAGAGGTGGATAATTAGATACATAGATGGCAGGGTTGGGAAGTAACTCGTTACTTGTAACCAGGTTACAGTTAACAGTTGCTTTTTTTTGGTAACTCTAATTTAACTCCGTTACTTTCTCTCCAGCTGTAACTGTAACTTATTGTTAGCTCAGCTACATTTTTTCGATAACTAGTAACTAATTGATTAGTTACTAGTTTCCCAACTCTGATGGATACAGAAAGAGCGAGGAATTTTGTTTAACATAAATTGAGAAATTAACTTTTTGCATCCGTTTATTTCAACGTTTTATAACAGTTAATTCAATTGCGTGTCTTCAGTAATCTAGACAGATTGCGACAATCTAGACAATCAAATCGTAACAAAGAATCGTTAACGAGGGATTAAGCTTCCAGTAGAAAATTGCAGCGACTTTTGACTGATATCCGCTAATTTTAGTCTGTGTTGCGTTATCTTTCAAGTTGAGAAATCGGACAATTTCGAACAATTGGTTTGTTTAAACATCAAAAATTTCTTTCCTTGTCAGACCATTTTCAACGAGCGTTTCTGAACCTGAAAAAATGTTCTTTTTAAATAATGTTACATAAATTGGTTACAGTTTCATTAAATTAATAGTCCTTTTTGTTTTAATTAAAAAAATCATCGTGTAAAATGGTAAAACTTGGTAAATAATAATGATTAATTAATATACTACTCGAGCCTGAATTATCTTAATATAATAAAAAGTTTATAGTGTGAGCTCGACTGCTCATACCCTCGCGTTATCTTTCATTGGACGATTCCAGCGTGTGCCATGGGAAACAAATGTTCCGTGGCATATAATTCTCGGAGTTTCTATAGAGTCGGTAAAGTCTAATGGCGGTTTGAGCTGCAGGACTAGACGGCGATTGCACATGTTCCACAAATAACGATCTATTATGCAAACGCTAGAAAAGAACCATTTTTAAATTTATAAACACGTCACTTTACATAACAATATTGGAATGTTGCCTAACGTCTTCGCATAAACATGAAGAACTGAACTTGCAGAAACTTGTTATGTGTTCACGTAGAAGTAACATATATTGTTGAAAAACCTCGAGCTTTTCTATTTATTACAGTAACCATTGTATTTTCGCAGTTGCTATTGCAACTTCTGCGCGTTATTGTCGCCTTATCGCGTAAATTCCAAGAAGACGCGATGCTTTATCACATCAATCGCTCCCGTAGGGAAGCGGAAAAAATATGCCGGCGTCATCGAAGATGCGTCTTTTGTGTCGACACGACGCTCGAAATTCGATTCCGTTGGTTTAACGAGCGAGCGAAACGAAATTGCGAGGCACAGGTCAGGAACAGGAGCTAATTTTAAACCCGCTGCCGCTCATTATGCAAGTCCTTTCATCGTCGATCAATGCGTGCATTGCGATTTCCTTTTATCGCGCGTCGATTCATGCAAGGGCGTGGTTGAACGTGATCAATTAAATAACTTTCGAAGCTCGAGCCTGCACCACCTTCATCCGTCACTAAACAACCGTTCCAACGAATTTTACAGATAGATAATAAAACTATGAAGCGGCCGATTTTCACGTGTCTTCGTTCTGCAAAATTACATGTCAAATTGTAGGATTTGTATTAGAAGTGACGTCACTATTTTCAATTTTACATCTATTCCAGTCACGCATTTACTATCGTACCGCAAACTTACCGTGTTTCTTTTTTAAAAGAGAAATCAAAAGTTCACGCCTAAAGTTTGTATACGACGCCGTGTATCTGTTTTATCGCGAAGATATTTCGAGCGTGGTTTCGCCACTTCGATTTTATTACTATCGTATGTAAAAAAAAATTCTCTTCAAACTGGAGAGGGGGGCATGCGTTAGAAGGGAAAGTGTAGGGTGGAGAAGATGACATTAACACCTGTTGCGCCTTAGGAGGCTTAGAGATTGCCTCACGCTCATTCCTTTCACCTATTGCTTTGCAATATTTCAAAGTTGTTCTTAGATAAAAGAGCCTATCTTTGTCGGCCTTATCCACTGACAATGGCTTGCGATGCCGAGCCTTTTATGAAACCTTGTCAATCGCAGATAGAGAAGTATTTTTCACGTTGCCGCGAACAAAAAAAAGAGACAATGTACGCCTGTGCAGTAACCAAAGGTGGAAGTGATCGAAATTAATCGGCTGCGTAATTTCAGTAGGAATTGGAACAAAAAAAATAACATCTTCGTCGATCGACGATACACCTTCGACGATATAAACGATTAGCAATTGGAGGATTAGCGTGCCGTTTAAACAATCTTATTATTAGCGGGGTAATCGTCTAACCGTGTTTATTGAACGTAACATTACTGCGTAATTGCGGCGATAGGATAGTCATCCTACGTGGCGCATTGTGCGTTCGGTGTTGCGTTTGTATCAGCGTAATTACGGTTGCACAATGCATCGTAGAAGGAGGCTTCGAGCGGTTTCTAAGAGTTTAAAAAGCCTCCGTGCTATTTACTTTTGTTAAGCGAGCGCGCTACAAGTATTCTAAATATAGCCGGTATTCTGAAATCGTCGTCATTTCTACGTCGAAAACTTTCCACGTCGCGTAAAAAAAAAAGTTTTTAATTATTTTGCGAAACCTTTTTTCTTATCGGTGCAATTTAAGTCGAAGAGAGCCGCGATTTAATTTAAAATATTGTTAAAAATATCATCAATTCATTCCGGTTTAGGCTCTTGGCCGAGTGTTTAATCAATTCCGCTTTAAAGCAACTCGTGTTACTCTCATTTCTCATTTTATTTCTCATTTTATATTCCACCTTGGCAACGCTGGAATTTAATTTCACATCACGTGGTCTCATTTGAATGAAACACGCGCGTTTAGATAAAATTAGCCAGCAGATACCCGCATGTTCCAAGTTTGCACGTGAAGTGTATTATTAACAGCCCAAAAAATCCCGCGTGCAGCACACGGGGAGAATTTATTCAGCGCTATACTTCTAATTGCTTTCGGTGACAATGCGCCGATTGACTTCTAGCGGCCGCGAGCGGAGTCGCGATACGCGGCGAGCTTCCGGTCCACCCGGTATATATGAGATCTCGGTCAACCTGCTATTATAAGAAAGCGTCAAAACGGGTGGCAGATAAGCTTACGCGGTGCGGGGCGCGTTTGCGATCTCGTGACGCGTGCGCGCGCGTGCAGAAGGTTCGATCCGCTGCCGAGATAATCGGCATATCGCGGGACACAATCGGACGATTATTCATCGCGATACGTGTCCCGCAGACGCGCGTGGATAAAAAAAGCACACAGGCGGTTGCCGCCTGCCTTCCCTCCCGTCCTTCGTTCCGACCGTTATCCTTGCTGCCCGCGCCGGATCCCGCTTCTCCGAGACGGCCGATAATGCCAATGGGCCTGAAAATAGCTCCCCGTCACGGCCTAGCGGGGCCCGTTCGCGCGGTCGCTCGCGCCGCAGCCTCCGTATGAAAATGCCGAGAGATCGGCCTCGTACGAGGCACTCGGGCATTGTCGCGCGCGGAGACATTTGACTTTGGCCGCGGCGCATCACGACACGTGTATACGAAGGTCTATGGCTGATGGCAGAGAACAATCCGTAAACGCTTAAAACTGTCTCATTGTCAGTCGTAGACGTAGGGCAAGGCAGAGAGAAACGTAAGTCGTATACAATAGCCTTTCACGACTTACGTTTCTCTCTGCCTTGCCCTACGTCTACGACTGAGACAGTCTTAAGCGTTTACGGATTGTTCTTTGCCATCAGCCTATCACTGCGAGGTGTCCTGTGCAGAGAGCTTTGTCGTCTGACGTCTCGCCGGGAGGGAAAACGTCTCGAATTTGCCGTGCGAATTATGTCTGCCCTCGGATGATTTTCGTCGCGGTCATTTACGTCTTTCGGACACTTGCGTCTGTGCAGCCTCTGGTCAGAAAGGCTGTCCGGCGTTTTAAATCTCGGAAATACAGTCTATCGCGCGGGAGATTGTAGCTACTGCTCGCGATATGTACGAATGTCTATGCGATGATACACACGAATATTCCGAGAACTTGTTGTAAAACGTCGGGCAACCTTCCCGACCATGACCGTACCTGAGAAGTACGAGCTGTCGTGACTACGAAATTATCGATTTCGAGGTTTTCGTCTCAACTGAACGCTCCAATTGTTAATTTTTTAATTATTTTTTGGAGGAGAGAACTTTCAAACAGACTTTAGAATATCATTAGACGGTGTCTAATATTATTAAAATATAGTAAAAAAAAATAACTTGCAGAAATGCAAGTTGATCTCTCAGGTGCAGATACGTTTACGAGTTGTTCTCTTATTTCCCCGGAAACGCGTATGTGTGCGTGCACGTGTTAATTTTATTTGTCTCGTGGGTTTCCAGGCTTACGTAAAACGAATTGAAATCGATGCAGAAAATTTAAATAAAAAATCGCGACATTGATATTACACGTGTGATAAACTGCGCGCGTGCAATCGCCGCCAGATTTTGCTTGGAAAGTTCAACGAATATTCATGCCTGCGAATAATATTAATGCCCGTGCGTCAAGTTTTATGTTATCGCTCATTTTTCTTTTCGTCGCTCGTGCACTTTTTTATCATATTTATGACCTATTTATATAACGAGATTATTAAGTCGCGATTTCAGGACAGTTCGTCCGACGAAATAGACCGACGTTGCGGTTTCCTTGCTATAATCGCGCTTCGGAACGTGCATAACGCAACTACGTATCTACGTACGACGCGTGCAGTTTACGATTAAATTATATTACCTGCAATTAAAATATCATTTCGACCAAGTGATTATCCGTCGGGGGAAAATCTCGGACTTCTGAAAATATTAAATGTCTAAACATTTTAATGTCTACGAAACAGAAACGATTTGATTTACATAAAACACTATTGTTTGCTAATTTATTAAGCTCGGCTTTT